TTAGCGAAGGGGATGCGAGTACTAAGTTCTTCCATATAAGTGTCCTTAATCGAAGACGCAAAATCGTATCTCCTTTTTCAAAGATGAACATAACAACTGGATTAATGCCCCTGATAAAATCCTTCACCATACCTTTGAATACTTTCAAAACATTTATCAAACAAGCCATGACTCATCTAACTGGGCCGACATAAAAGCATCCCCAACTTCTACATCATGCACAGACTTAGCAGCCCTATACAAAGCTTTACAAAATTACGAGATCACTAGGGCTATATTTTTCTTCAAACCATTCAAAGCTCTTAGACCGGACGGTCTACACCCATTCTTCTAGCAGAAATATTAGCACATTGTTAAGAATACCGTCTTTAGTTATTGCCACTCCATCTTTACAACTCACATCATCCTGGAGAAACTCAATACAACCTACCTTTGTCTAATTCCCAAATTTCCTAATGCGAATACTCTCAAAAATTTCCGACCCATTGGGCTTTGCAACACAATTTATAAGGTTATTACCAAATTATTGTCAACCGTATTAAACCTTCGAATCCAGTTTCCTTAAAAGAAGACGTGCGTCTGATAACGCCATCATCATCCAAGAAATTATTCAGCACTATAATAAAATAAAAGGCACCAAGGGGAAAATCCTCCTAAAAATTAAATTGAAAAAAGCCTTTGACTGACTAGAATGGTCATTTATACTAGAGCCCTGCACTACTTTAACTTTCCACCACGTATCACTAATCTTATCATGGCTTGAATTAGTACCTCCTGTGTTGTCGTCTTTGTGAATGGCTCCCAAACGGAGTTCTTCAAGCCATCAAGGGGAATAAGACAAATTGATTTAACACTTTGGGACTCCATTAAATTAAGCCCAACGGGATCCCCTCTCTCCCACTTATTTTTTGCAGATGACTTAACCCTAATGGCAATAGCCAATGAGAAATCTGCCAACACAATCAAGCGATGCATAGATTACTTTAGCTCCCTATCAGGGAAAAAAATAAACCATACCAAGTCTAAAATAATCTTTTCAAAGAACTTCTCTCCTAATCTTAAAAATTCCATTTCTAGTATCCTTAACATCAAAGTCAGTGACAACTTTGGGAAATACCTAAGCTTCTTAATACTGACTAACAAACCTAGGCCAGCTGACTTTACATTCATCCTTGACAATCTTAATAAAAGAATGTCTAGTTGGAAAACCCAATTTCTATCACTTGCGGGAAGAGCAACTCTAATACAAACCACCCTCAATGCCCTCCCTAACCATGCCATGCAATACACTATGCTTCCTAAAAAAAACCTTAAACAAATTGACAAAATTCAACGGGATTTCTTGTGGGCAGCAAAAATTCACTAGATAAATTGGGACACTGTCTCAATGCCAAAACATGCTGGGGGTTTAGGAATAAGGAAAGCCACTGACAAAAACACTGCTGCTATTACAAGCCTCACTTGGCGATTCTTTAGCCACCCCTCCACCATTTGGGCTATAATTATCACCCCAAATACGTTGGTCGATACTCTAAAAAATCTCACTCCTTCATATGGAATAACATCCTCACGGGCTGGACAATTTGTGAACGCGCTATTGTTTGGCATATTGAAGATGGTACAAAGATCAACTTCTGGCATGCAAACTGGTTGCCTTACACAAAAAATCTGCGTAGCATGATTCAAGGCCCCCTCTCACCTAATGATTTAAATCTCAAAATTTCGAACATATTTAGCAATAACTCATGGGACTTGTCAAAACTCTCTTTTGAGCTCCCGTCCCATATTACAACCGAAATTCACTCCATCAAAACAACTAATGACTATCACCACATTGATACACCAATGTGCGTCCCCACCATAGATGGAGTTTTCACTACAAAGTCTGTGTATCCTCTTATAGCTCCGAATAGTACTCAAAACCAAAGCAAAAATTTCGCCTGGCTTTGGAAAATAAAAACTTGGAATAAGATTAAGTATTTCTATGGCAATGCTACCATGATCGTTTACCCACTAAAAGCTACCTATGTCACATTGGCATTGATACATCTTTGTAGTGCTCCATTTGTAGCACCACCGAGGAAACACCCAAACACATCTTTCTCTTCTGCCCAATGGCCAGACATCTATGGGATGATCTAGGCGTTAACACGCAATCCCTTGACATCCAGTCTACCCAATGGCTAAAAAGTATTTACAAACGTAAGCCTCAAATTACTTGTCACTCCCTAACTTGGGACTGTCTCTTCTCCTTTGCAATTTGGCTTCTATGGTTAAATAGGAATAGAAACACCTTCCACAATCTTTGCAATCCTATATATCGAAATAATGTTATCCCAGGAGCCATGGAATATCTTCATTGCAGTAATATCACTTGTAACAAACTAGACACACCCCTTACAGTTATTACTAAATGGGAGCGCCCCACCATGCACCAAGTAAAGCTTAATATTGATGGAGCGTTTACAGGTAGATTTAAACAAGGGGGGTTAGTATTTAGAAACTCCATCGGAGAATGGATTCTAGGATTTAGTGAGAAGAGTTATGGCCCATCCCCACTCTACATGGAACAAAACGGATTAAAGCTAGCAAAAGACTATAACTTGACCAACCTCCAAATAGAGACGGATTAAACCTCCATACCATCAATAATTGAAACTTCTAATTACCCACCATATAATACACTCATCTTTACTTGCAGGTACTGGCTGAAGATGCTGGGGAATCCACCAATCCTACACAACTTTCGTGAAGGAAACAAGGTAGCACATGAGCTAGCACAACATGGAATCAAGCAAGGCAACGTCTACTATAATCAGTTATATCCAGATGTCCCAGAATACCTAATGGATGTTGTACAAGCTGACAAGGAGGGCATTACTACTACAACGACCAGTACCACTAATGTTGTTGTTTAATAATTTGGCTATGCTTGGAATCTCTGTTATGTCTTCTTTAGTTGTAACAATATTACTACTAGCATGCCTACGTTTGCTCCCAATGGGAGGACCAGGCCATGTAACCCTACTAGTTAATCGTTAAATAAAATTTCTTCGTTACCAAATATGGATAATACATCATATTAGAAGTGGACTCAGAATTTCAAACTTATTCGAGATTTTAATTCTTCTAACTTTTGAGTTTTAATTTAATAATTTATACATATTCAATACATTTTTTAAGACTAATATAGGATTTAAACAAAATCTACTAGGTTCGCGAGCACTTGTTCCCAGTAGTCTAGTCCTAAACCTTGCGTCATATCCACGTCAAATAAAATCATAATACATCAACATCGTCTTTATCAACCCAAAGCAAAACAAACTCTTGGATGGGCCGCAAGCCAAGGGTGTAATGTAGGTAGACGCAAGCATGAGGGATTTGCAGTCGTACCCTATATTTGTGCCACCTTTTAACCTTTACCCTATTTTTAAAAATTATTGATTTGGTAGCCAGCTGATAAAAAATCCGTAATAATATGACAATTACACACCTGACAAAAGATATAAAACCTGCATCACGCATTAATCGCGTGATCTGCAACCTCATTCGTGAAAAAAGATCTCCTCCTCTCCTCTCAGCATCTTTATCAAAAAATTAGAAACTTATCCAGATTCATCTTCAGAATCACACTTGCATGAAGTTGTTTCATGTTGAAGCTAAAACTTCATGCTAATATAGCATGAAGTTGTTTCACATTGAAGCTAAAACTTAATGCTAATGCGTGATGAAGTTATATATCCTGCAGTCTACAGTTTTGTCATGAGTTTTACCCGAAACTTCAGTCTAAACATGCTGAAGCTATTTAGTTCATTTGCTAAAACTTCAGACTAAACATGTTTAAGTTTTTTTTAGATCATTTGCTAAAACTTCAGACTAAACATGCTTAAGTTTTTTAGTTCATTTGCTAAAACTTTAGCCTAAACATGCTTAAGTTTTTGTCTTGTAGTATGTAATTTTCTAATGAGTTTTTGCTAATGCATGCTGAAGTTATTTAGTTCATTTGTTAAAACTTCAAACAAAACATGCTGATGTTATTAGTTCATTTGGTAAAACTTCAGACTAAACATGCTTAAGTTTTTTAGTTCATTTGCTAAAACTTCAGACTAAACATGCTTAAGTTTTTGTCTTGCAGTATGTAATTTTCTAAAGAGTTTTTGCTAATGCATGCTGAAGTTATTTAGTTCATTTACTAAAACTTCATACCAAAACATGCTGAAGTTTTGTAATTCACTCTACAGTTTTGTCCTGAGTTTTACCCGAAACTTCAGTCTAAACAAGCTGAAGTTTTCAGTTTATTTGCTAAAACTTCAGCCTAAACATGCTTAAGTTTTTGTCATGTAGTTTGTCAATAGTCTTTTATTAAAGAAGGCAAAATCGTCTTTTTAAGACGCTTTTATAAAAATAAAAATAAAAAGGTACGGATACAAAGGAAAAAATAAAACGGGAATATATTAAAAGGGGGCGACCAAATAGGATGCCTCGTGTAATTTTTACAGTACGCATCAACAGCGGATTCCACATCATATTTGCGCTCTCTCTCTGTCCTTTTCAACGACTAACACCTCCACCACTACTATTTACCTCCCATTACACCCAACACTACACCACCATCACCATTATTCATCTCCGTATTTCATTTCCAACTAAACCAAGAAAAAAAAAAGGAGTAAAAGAAAGGGGAAACAAGGAGCAAAAGGAGAAGGGAAAAGAACTACTATGAGTTTTTTGGTCTTATTTTATTTATTTATCTATGTATTTTATTTTACGTCTTTTGTGTTGCTGATTTTGTCTATTCTAGAACAAAATTACAGCATTCACGACTCCTTAATAATTGGCACATACTAACACCACGTAAGTATGGTCAAAGGTCAAAGCTATTGTTTCTGTAGGTCTTTACCAAGTAAAAGTATTTCTCTCAAGGTTAAATTGTATAATATCAAACAATTGTGAATCGTCCAACATATTAAGAGTATTACATCACACCCTTCAGGGTGCGGCCCTTTCTCAAATCTGCATTAACGCGGGATAATTCGTGCATTGGTCAACCCTCCCTCCTATACATATTGGATAAAGCGAGTAATAATGTAAAATAAAAAATAAAAAAACATGTAGAATAATTGATTACCACCGCAAAAGCTTTACCAAAAAGAAAGAACATCAACAACAAGAAAAAGAAGAAGAAAAAAAAAACAGGGGAAAACAGAGTAGAGGAAATCAAAGAATGAGGCTATGGAGAAAGGTTTCCGGATTGGTAAAAGATCAAAATAGCATATTCATTGCTAGTTTATCAAGAAGAACACCTCTCCGGAATCCAGACATCGAGGCTGCTGTTATTAAAGCCACAAGCCACGATGAATTCTCCATGAATATGAAGAACGTCGATCGTGTTTTTCGTTGGTTACGTTTATCATCTTGTAATCTCAAACCTTTAATTTGGGCTATCTCGATTCGAATAGAGAAAACTCGAAGTTGGGTTGTTGCCATTAAAGTTTTAATCTTAATGCATGGTCTTTATAGCACTAGGCTTCCTTGTGTTCAAAGAATTGGTAGATTACCTTTTGATCTTTCAAATTTCGAAGATGGTCATTCAAGAAAACACGAAATGCATGGGATTAACGCGTTTATTCGCGCTTATTTCGCGTTTCTTGATCAGAAATCGTCTCTCCTTTGCATGGAATTGCATGAAAAGAGAAGCAACAACAACATGATGATTATGATGCATAATCTTGACGTAGAAGAAAAAGAAAGTTATTCTATCGTTCAAGATCTTGTTGTGGTACAAAAATTGCAATCTTTGCTTGATGTGTTGCTTGAAATTAAGCCGTTATCGGATTCTGCTATTGTCCCTCTTGTTCTTGAAGCTATGGATTGTGTTATGACAGAAATTTTCGACGTGTATAGTAGGATTCGAAATGGGATTGCTCGAGTTTTATCAAGAATTAATTTGTTTGGGAAAGTTGAAGCAACTATGGCTCTAAAGATCATTAAGAAAGCAAATATTCAAGCAGAAGAGTTGTCTCTATATTTCGAGTTTAATCGCGATATAGGGGTGAGAAATGCTGAAGTTTGTCCAATTGTAGAGCAAATATCAAACGAAGATATCACACAACTTGAGGAAATTATCAATGGAGTTTCAGATAAAGAACAAAAGAGTTATGAAATGGATAGAGCAATTGTGGTGCATGAGAATGTTGGAGAAAAAAATGACTCAAAAAACAATTTAAGGACAATAATTACTGATCGTTGGGAGACATTTGATGAAGAAAATGGTGGCTGTTCTGCTATAGTAAAATATATTCCAAGAACAAATCCTTTTGAAGCCTCTTTGGTACCTACTAATTCCACCAATAATTTACCTGTTAAACCTCAACAATTACCAGATTTAATTAGCTTCTAGTACATGGCTTCACCAAATGCAATGTGGAACAAAAGCTTATAGTATCAAACAAGAGAAAAGAGGCATTATGTTACATCCTATATATGCATATTTATATATCTATAAATATGTAGATTTATAGATTTTTCTTAGTGATCAAAGGAAATGTTATATAAGTGTATAATATATGTGTGTGTTGAAAAAAGATTCTTTCCAACACTAGTCTTTTGAGAGATGTACTTGAAAGACATTTGATTTTGGGTTAGATCTTGACATTGTGCGTAGGTTAAGAGGTTTTATCCTGAAAAGGCGTCTCACGAGTTAGAAAATGGAGAACAATTTTAAGTTACCTAAGAGCATCATAGGTCATCGGTTCCACTGAATGCTCCTATCTCTCGGCAAAGATATGCGTTATTTTCAATCATCCGTAGTTTATATTTGATTTACTCATACTCCATGACCATGTTTTATGTGCTCGTTCTCTATGAGATAGCATTTGTTTTTCTTCCAAATATAAAAAACCATAGAATGGTAGATTGAATCTTCATAGATGTGGTTCCAATTTTTCAGTAACTTAGCTTCTTGTTGTATGATGAGCATATTAATATGATGTTTATCACCCATACACACTTACGATTCCAACTTCTACTGATTGCTACCAAGTATATCTAGACCAGTTTGGTTCTATTCACGCGTAGAGCCTATTGCACTCTCTATCTAAAATTTCTTCATTCTCAAGGTTGAACTCAAATTTTTTAATTAAGTGTAGATGAATTGTATCCATTCCACAGACATTCCGTGGTGGTAAAACATTTATTCTTCATCTGATAATGAGAGTTGGGAATATGTCTCACTGAAAGAATAATGAAGTCCGATTTCAATATTTCCTGAACACATAATTTAAAGACATGGAAACTACAAATAACAATTTTATTTTCATTTTTGCGAAGGAACCTGATTAATTGAAATAAATTTGTAGACTAGCAGTCAATGTCTCTATAATTTGTTTATTATGAATTTTAAATTTATTTTAGTTCAATTTACTCCAAATATAATCAATTTGACCATTGAAAATAGTATGGCTAGACATTTGAGCCAACGGAAACCCACCATTCTTTGGTTCAGCTATTTATTAGGGAGAACTTGTATATTTCGAAAGCTTGAAATGTAAGGACTTACCCAATCAGCATATATTATGATAGATTGTAGCAAGTTATTTATCGTATTTTGTAAATTATGATTAATTACGCTAAACACCTTATAATATCACTTAGTTACAAACACACTCTTATATATTTCTAAATCAAACACTTAATATTCTATCTTAAAATTAGTTTAAGATTGTTTCACTCTTATAATTTTATACATATTATGAGATTTATGTGACAGTAAAAACATATTATTAAATAAATATTTTTTAAAGTTAAATTATATTTTTTATTGTCTGAATATTCAGGAGCTAAGACCATTCCAATACCTCCTTTCGCCATGCATAAACTAAACCAATAATTAAGATAAGCACGAAAATGAGAGCTTCTATAAATACAGATACATCCAATACGTCGAAACTCATTGCCCATGGATAAAGGAAAATCGTTTAAACATCAAAAACAACAAAAACTAGAGCATACATATAATAACGGATTCGAAATTGTAACCAAGCATCGCCCATTGGTTCTATACCCGACTCATAAGTAGAAAGTTTCTCCGGCCCTTTGCTAATCGGAGCTAACACTCCGAAAATTAAAAATGCCAAAATAGGAACAAGCATAGATATTATTAGAAATGCCCAAAAAAAATCATATTCGTAAAGCAGAAACATAAACGCACTCCTATGAACGTGGAAAATATACCGGATTCGATTGATCGATTCGAATTGAAATTGTCAAGTCATCCATAACTATTTAGTCAAAACAATAAAGAAATAATGTCACATATACTATACACTTTATCCTTTTCGAGTATAGTATTTTGCACTCTAACTAGCACATACTTAAAAGAAATTATTATTATCTATGATATCAAACGGTTGTGGTGGATGATAAAGTATTCTCTTATCCTTAACCGAAATTTTAACGTTTTATTCTCGTTGCAGAATATTTCGATGCGAATCCAAATTAATTGCGCGCCGAGTTAAAAAATAAAAGACTCATACCAAAGTCCAATGATTAGTGATTTGACCCTAGCACCCAATTCTCATAATTAAAAGACAAAAATCACAGTACTATCACTATGTTACAACATTTCTGCAATTCTCAGAGGACCAAACTCCATTTTTGTTACACACTTGAGGCCCATCTTTCAAAGTCAAACTCCTTATACTATGGATGTAGTAACATTCGGCATTATAATAGGCATAATAATACTCTTCTTCTGCGCTGTTTGTGTCTTCACCATCGAAGGCACTTGCAAAAACCGCAATTCTTGATTCCAAACACCCTTTTCCCAAACACGCCCTTATCACCCCCTGCCTCCATAAATTTAGGGGTTTTACCTGATTTTGTTCTTGCCCAGACTGAAAAAATGTCAAAGATTGAATCTTTACTGAAACAGATCTGTTTCTGTTTAATCATTTCTATTTCTTTAGGGTTAGTGATTTTTGGGTCTTCTTTATCAGCTGAAGCTCACCAGTGTAACCATGGTCATGGGCATGACCATGACCATCAGGGACATCATCATCATCATCATGGGATGAGTGAAGTTAAGCAGAGGAAGCTTCCAGAAGAATTAGCAGAAGAGGAGGATCTAAAGCTGTTAGGATTTGGGTCCCATGATGACGTGGACGTGCATCATCATCATAATGGACATGGAGCCAAGGATCTTACTGGTCTTGGTATATATTATATTCATATTTTATAGCTTATATATGTCATTTTCATTTGTGCTTGGAGTCTAGCTCAATGGCGGAGCCAGAAATTCATACTCGTATCACATGATTTGAATTCGTGATCTAGGCAATTTTTGAACCTCCTTTACCACTGCACTAGACTAGATTCTTTACTTATGTTAAGGGGATTCAGCAGTTCTTATGAAAAAGGGTTAGCACGGTGCACTAAGCTCCCGCTATGTTGCATTTATACCCTGTTTCCGTGGCTTGAACTATGACCTCCTGGTCACACGACGACAACTTTTACCATTGCATTAAGGCTCCGTTTCATTCAAGAGTTCATATAGAACCAAAACAATTTGTTTTTACCCTGTTTGCGCAGTATAATTTTTCTGCCGAAGGGTATCCAATTGAACCTCCTTGACTCCCTTTAGCTCTGCCACTGCTTTAACAAACCCTAAACTATTAAATATCGGAATTTAAGGGTTCAAATGGAGTGAAATGGATAGTGAGGATTCATACAACTGACCTCAACAAGCTTAGGATTGAGATGTTGGTGGTGTTGTTGGATTTTAGCATACACTGATTTTGTAATGGTGCTCCTATGGTATTGCTTAATTTCTTTTTTTAAAGGGGTTAAAAACTACCTTTTCTCATATTTAATATTGAAAGCAAATATCTTTTTAAGTATGTTGCAAAAGGATGTTGTTTTTCCCAATGCTAGAAGAGGTCGAAGGCTATTATCGCCACAATTTGAAGCAGAAGTATTGAATGTGTATAATAAGGTTTATCTCTTGGTATGGCAACTAATTGGTGCTAGCATGTTTTCGTTAGCTATTATTTCAGTGGCAAAGGAGGTGACGATGGAAATGAATCACATCTGCAATATAAAATGCATACTGTAAAGGTAACTTTATGGTTTTGCCATAGAGCTAAACAACGGCTGAACGCTGCCATAGCCTGAACAAATATCACTTAATGAAAATTTGATCTCACATTATATGTCTTCCAAACAGTTTTAATCGAAAGGTGGATATAAAGTGTCACATTATTTATAAGTCAACTCACAATGCAAGCTTCAATAAATTATTTTGGCATTCTCTTGTTTTGTGCGTACAGTTAGACTTGTGTGATCCATAAATTGTTACTGTCATCTAGACATGCTTATTTTTTCAGGATGCCAGATGTTTCTTTTAATTGCGTGGTTGATTAGATGATAGGCATTTTGTGATGTCACGTCTCTTTGCTTGAACCTTTTTTTAGGGTATCTCTTTAATTGAAGTATCATTGTTGATATGACTCTTGAGCTCGTCTGAAAGACATGTATATTTTGCTTTAAGTCATTCGCAAGAAAGTTTTAACTTGCCGACATATAACAAATTATAAAAATGCCCATGTAACACAACAACAACAACAAACCCAGTTTAATCCCATACGTGGGGTCTTGGGGGGGGGGGGGGGTAGGGGCATGTAACACCTAATATGCAAATAATTCGCAAAATAATTGAGCTCTCAGTCTCCACAGTTGCTCTTATATATGTAAAATTTCTTTTTTTTTGGCGCACGACATATGGGACCGTTTTTGGTAGATCTCTGTAATGGGTGCCTTTAGTTGTCACTGAGAGCTTTTCTTTGGGTTCATTGACAGGTCTTTGGGTCAATGCAATGGGTTGCTCACTGTTGGTGAGCTTGGCTTCCCTTATATGCCTGATTATTTTGCCTGTAATATTTTGTAAGTAGCTTAAGTTCTTTATGTTTCTGCCCTTGTTCTTTAAGATTCATTGCTTATCTTCATTTCGAAACACCTAATCAGAATGTTTTGTTTCCTGCAGTAAAAGGGAAGCCGTCAAAAGCTGTTGTTGATTCTTTGGCGTTATTTGGGGTGAGAATGATCTTTTATGGATTAGAATTTCCTGAATATTTTCCATGGTTGGTTCAATTTCTTCTGTTTCTTTGTGTTCAAGTTGAAAACATTGTTTGTGGAAGGTGAAATTATGTTTGGACATAAACTTCACCTGGAAAAAGGTTTGTGAAAGTTGAACATTTGTGAGTGGAAACCGGTATTTCACTTGAAATACACATTCAAACCAGTATTTCAATGTTTTATACACTGAAGTTCAATTATTTTGCAATTACTGAACTTCAAAATTTGCAAATAATGATATAATATTTTTTTTGATTGTCCAAATAATGAAATAGTATTTATGCCATTGTTACAGTTTTATCCAAATCGATAGGAAAATTTAAATCGGGTTGCTAACTTAACTATTAGCAAGTGGTGTTTTCACGAATAAAAAGATTTATTTCGTATTATTACTAAAATGTGCATTTTTTTTTGTGCAACTTATTTTTCTACATAATGTTAAGTTCTTAACAACTTAAATGTAATTAGCAATTTTTTAGTTTTATATTTCTCCTTGAATAGTTTATTGTAAGTTACATCAAAAGTGAACTTTGATTAACGATTTTATTGATCAATTATTTGTAAATCGCTTTCTTAAATTATCAGAAACAGTTTTAATCATGCTAATCAGGAAGGTCCTCCTGTTGCACATATTCCCTCCATCCACTATTAATTGTTCTAGATTTACTAGGTGGAGGTATCAAAGGTAAAAAATGTGGTTTTATTGCTTTTAAGAAAGCGGGTGCAAAACTGGAGGAAAAGTTTAACTTGTTTGTAGACTTTGGAAAACGTAATGTAGGTGTTGTTTCTCGTTGTTAGTGGCAGATGTTGAAAAGTATTAGAGAAGGTAGGAAAAATGTCTTTCTTATCTGGAAAGACTTTTCCAGATAGCTTAGAACTGAGAGTAGGATAATTGATTTGTGATGAGGAAGTGTTCTATTAGCTATAATTATATCTCAGTAGCATATACTTTATAGTTGTTTGAAACTAAGTCTTCTCTGAAAGTGCTGTGGAACTTTAAAAAAGATGATCATACACACACATCTTCATATGTTAACAATCGTGTATGTAATGTAACAAATGGCTTCAGATGGTGAGATGATTATCAGATAGATGGAAAAGCTTCTACTGGCAGTCTTCTGCTTGTGAATTATCTTATTTGTTATAATGAATAATATACTGGCATTTTGAATTTTTAATTGTAATTTTTCCCTTATATGTGAAAATGATACCTTAAATTTATCAGGATATCCGTCTTACCATACATATGAATGCTGCCTGCTAAATGAATTCTGTTTGCCGATTTGGAAGTAATACCAATTCATTTGAATATGCTTAATGAAGTTATTGGACGGTTGTTTCTAAAATTATTTACTAGGATAAAAGTTTTCTCATTCTTTCAGACTTCATGACTTACACAGGCAGGAGCCATGCTGGGGGATGCTTTCCTTCACCAATTGCCACATGCTTTTGGTATGATTCTTAATCTTAAATTAGCGAATAAGTAACCTTGCATATTGCATTTAGGCTCACTTACCTTTAAATACCAGAAACTCTTAGCTTTACTCCATCATAATTTAGTTTTACTTAGCTTGGTAACTGTTAAAATGACATAAGCGAGTATGTCTTTACATCAGGCATGCTTCTTCGATGTGTAATCCTAAAACTCACTAGCTTACACTATCAAAGGTAGGTTTGTCTATCTTGCTGTCCCTGAGTGCGTGGGTAACTCCCTTTTCCACCTTTCACTACTCTCAGTCTAGTTCATGTTGGGGAGACTGAATAACATTGTTGTGCTCTTGTCTATGTCCAAATGTTGTGCTGATGCATATTACTTAGCACGAACGTTATTCTCCTGAGCTAAGATTGTGAGTTGTTATGAGTATCGTGTTTCTAAGAAAAAAAATATCTCTCTTTCTATCCCAATTTGTTTGGCACTATTTCCTTGTCGGTCCTAATAAGATTGGTTCTTTTCTAGATTGAGAACCCTTTTATTTCTTACATTCCTCTTTTTCAGTTGACATGACTTGTTGTGGACCCCACTGCATACAAGAACAACTTATTTGGTAAAAGGCTGCCTTTGGTATCTTATGAATATTTATCCGATGCGTCAAAGAGTCTTCTTTCTTTTTTAAACTCGTGCCTTGTCAGACTATCCAGATTCAATATTTATTTGATGTGCCAAAACTCAAAATTCTTCTTTGTTTCAACTCAATATCCAATAAAACTATAGCAAGCAAATTTGTATGGAGGCAGTAATAAAGTAGTATGTATGAGTATTCTTAAAGATGCTGTTAGAATATAGCTATTCGTCTGAAGGAAGGAACATGATAGATCAGACATATATCCTTGCTATATCCCACACCCAAATATTGTTGCCTTTAACTATTTATGGCACTAAATAATTTTACCAAAAAAGATTACAGTCAAACCTCTCTATAACAGCCTTGTTTGTTCCGAATATTTTTGGATGCTATAGCGAAGTGTATAGAGAACAAGTATTATAACATAACATGAAAACTGGTTCCGAAAAAGTTTGGCTTTTATAGTGAAGTGTTGTTATACAAGGATTCTGTTATAGAGAGGTCTGACTGTACTTCTTTTAGGTGGTGTACACTCCCACTCACATGATCACCATGTGGAACATGATCATCTTCATGATCACTCCGGTCATTCACATGCACATTCGTTGGAGGATCTTTCTGTTGGATTGTCCATTCTGGGTAAGTTCTTCGACTTGATTCTGTTTTTAAATTTCATTGTTCATTTTGTGAAATTTTTATGTTTATTTTGCATTTGCATGTAAAATATTGGGGAGGATTTGCTTCCCATGGTTGCAAAATTGGAAATATCGAAAAAAAATTGTGTTCGAATATTCCAATGGAAGTAAATGCTTATTTATAGTAGTATTTAAATATCATGATTCCACCTTTTAATTTGCAAGATGTCCGCTGGCATTAGCTTGATGGTGCTGACTAAGGATGACATGACGGCAAATGTAAAAAGATCTGAGCGTCCAACCTAAAACTTAAAGCAATGTGTGGAGAGGCTTAAGACCTCTATAAAACCCTTTTGGAAACCTTTACACCACCTATGTGGGACAGCAATATAACTCAAAAGCTTTCATCATTTTAAAGGGCTGGTGTCTTTTTATCTTTTCTGAGGATAGGGTGTGAATTCTTATTTTCACAACTTGGATTAACTTTCTTCTACTGTATTTTGATTTCTTCAGATAACTCCTAATTTGTACTTCTTAACTTGTATTAAACTTAAATTCATCTTCTAAGTGCCTGAGATTTGATTCTCTTCTGGTAATGTCATCGACTGTACAGCTGCTGTTGCCACCCTGCTGAATGTTTCATGATACTTTTGTTTTGGCAGCTGGAATTGTGCTCTTTCTTATTGTTGAGAAGCTTGTGAGGTATGTTGAAGATTTTTCTGGAGGAGCCGATGAATGGAGTCATGGTCATCATCATCATCATCGTCATACGCACATCACAAAGTTGAAGGATGACGATGATGCTAATGACAACGACCAACTGTCTCCGAAGAAGAGCGGAAACCTATCAGAAAAGACAGCTGGAGGGAGTGAAGTGGACGGCGTGTCTGCTGACTCTCCCAATGGGGAAAAGCCAAGTGGAGGAGCTGTTCTCCGGAAGGTAGAATCAGCACATGCCCCCATATTTTGCTGTTCCATATTTTGCCAGGCTTAGATCCAGTAAAGTGTATTTCTTGTTAGGATAATCTGCACTTCTGAACTTTCCCGTAATACTAAAACAAAGACTGGAAACTAACAATATTATCATAATTTAGAGGGGTCGTGTGACCTTTTCCTCAACATAACATGCTGTCAGCTGACCAAAGCACAAACAACTACTTTGTCAAGACAAGGTTTCTCAATGTAATTGTTGTCGTAGTGTTTCTTTCCACACTCCATACTGACTTGAACTAAATTCAGTCTTGTGATACAGTATCACGCATAAATAAGCAATTGCTAGTTCCATACCATAAATGTTGTAAAACCTTTGCAGCTTAAATCGCTTACATTAAACTGGGTTTTAAAATCATACATGACATGCTCACTAGAAGTTCCATAAAGTTATTTCCTTGCTCCTGAAAATTCTTTAACCACTAATTCCTCCATTTGTAATTAATTAATTAACTACTTAATATAAGATACAGGTTGACTTTTGCTGTTTGTTCTGATATGGCGTCAGATTAAGTTTAGACAAGGTCTAATGTATCTTTCATCCATTTTAACGATTCTGCAGTGTATCTGTTCCCAGATTGAAAATCTCTTTGAACAGATGCAGTCATTGAAATATTTATTTGTTTGCGGTTATTTGTTATTGCTATTTGTCTCATATGCTAACTATTGCAGAGGAATACTGGCTCCAGTGCTGCTGACGACAATACTGTTTTAGATGCTGCAAATTGCACTACCAATTCTGAGTCAGTTGGAAAGGAACAGGCTAAATCACGGTCAAGCCTTGTCTTTGGTTACCTCAACCTCTTCTCTGATGGTGTTGTATGTACTACATTAGCCCTCATCCTGGTTTATGATTTCTTACAAACAACTAGACATATCTGGCTGGTGAACATCGATACATGAGATGTTTTATGTTATGCTGCAGCACAATTTTACTGATGGCATGGCATTGGGAAGTGCATTCCTCCTTTATGGATCAGTTGGTGGGTGGTCAAGAACTTTGTTTCTTCTAGCTCATGAGCTCCCTCAAGAGGTCATTTATATTTCTTTCTAGTATTTCTACATTACCATGTCAATACTGTTGCATGTTTTTAATTGATTGCCCATATAAGCAGTTGCATTTTAGCCGCTCGAAGTTACTCTCTTTCCCTCAACTACGAAAATCTCTCTCCATTATCACAAGTTTCCTACATAAATTAGATATCAGTTGAATCTTCATAGGAATCTCTAAGGAAGGGTACTTGGATAAAATTATCTTCGCCTCATTTCTCACATCTGCTGCATCTTGTAATGTAGCATTTTTTCCCTCTTGAGTCCGTTACTTGATGTTACTCTCATGTGAATCTAATGATCCCTAAACCTTATTTATGCAGATAGGTGACTTTGGAATCTTGGTAAGGTCGGGGTTCAGCGTCTCCAAAGCTCTCTTCTTTAACTTCTTATCTGCACTAGTGGCACTAGCCGGAACTGCACTGGTTAGTATAATCTGTTGGCATGATCCAAGGTTCTGCTTTCTTGTCGCATTTGATTAAACTAAAAATTTTGTCCTGCTATGTAGGCGTTGACGTTGGGACAAGATTCTGGTCAGTCATCAGTGATTGAAGTGAGACTCTTTTTTAAGCTATCGGTCAGATAAACTTGAGTTCATAGAAGAATGTCTTTCTTATTTCTAAATTCTAATATAATGTTGCAGGGTTTTACTGCTGGCGGCTTCATCTACATTTCGGTTGCTGGGGTGTTGGCTGAAATGAATAGTAGTGGCAGGACTACCTTGATGAATACAGTAATCCAACTTGTCTCACTATTATCAGGGATGGCTGTTGCTCTTTGTATCTCCCTTGTTGAATGACACAATACATGCTACTTGTCGTGTTCGTAGAGAGGGGTTGAAGTCTCCCCCCATAGGTATAAGAACAGCCTTCCGGTGTTACCTGTTACGACAACATCCGGTCAGAGAATACACATTACTTGTCTGATATTGATGAAATTAATGAACATCGTGAAAAGTTCATCTTCATCATTTATTTTCTACTCGTTTTGCTTGTCATGTTGGTTGAATAAATCAGCAAAGTAGAAATTGGATATCTTAATTGTAAATTACATAATGAAATACAGTGGCACATCAACACAATAGAATAAGGTGAATAAAAGCACTTCACCACTTGACAATTAGCTTCTTATAAATCTATTTGTTCTCCATCCAACTCAAGCTTCTCAAGAGGGAAAACAATATTTGGCCATGTTTGACTTCATTTTGTTGCTCATCCAACTTCTTCTCTTCTTTAACAACTTCTATATCATCATGCTTCTTTTGTTTGATCTCCCATCTCCACCTTCCCTTCCTCTTCTTGTACTTCGTCGTGCTTTTTGTTTTTGGATTCAAGCTATTGTTGCAACCAGCAAGCAAAATATGCCCTCCTCCGTCAATCATAAGAATTTCACCATTTTCAAACAGCTTTTGTAGATTATATTTGAGCAGGATCATATGAGAGTCACTGGCAAATTGTCATATTCTTTCTTGATAAACTTAGATATTGAGTCTTCACTCGAACCTCCTCCTTCATCGAATTCGCGCAGGGCCCTTTTGGATCATCTATAACAAGAGAAAACATTTGATTAGACCATAAAGGAAAATCTTCAACTATGTGTATTTCATTGTTGTTGGTGTTGTAGGGGCTTTTGCATCTATATCCGATTTTGGGTCACAATTGAACCTATACATACTTTGAAATTTTTTTTGCTAAAATTGCACTTCATATACACTTAAGGCCAAATAGGTCTGAAGTGCAACCAATGGTTTCATGCACTTAAGGTCAACAAGCCTGAAGTGAAAAATTACACTTCAGATGCACTTAAGGCTAAAAGGTTTGAAGTGCAAGGCCAATAAGTCTGAAGTGAAAAATTGCACTTCAAATGCACTTAAGGCTAAAAGGTTTGAAGTGCAAGGCCAATAAGTCTGAAACGAAAAATTGGACTTATGCACTTAAGGCCAAATAGGTCTTAAGTATAACCAATGAGTTCATGCACTTAAGGCTAATAAGTCCAAAGTGAAAAATTGCACTTCAGATGCACTTAAGGCCAAAAGGACTAAAAGTGCAACAAATATTTTCCTACCCTTAAGGCCAATAAGTTTGAAGTGAAAAATTGCACGTTAGATGCACTTAAGCCCAAAGGTCTGAAGTGCAACCGACGTTTTCATGCACTTAAGGCCAAATAGGCCTGAACTGCAAATTGCCCAGAAACGGGAATTTGTTATTCGAATTATAACAATCCAATATACGATTTAATACCTAAATCTACTCCAAATAAGCTCAAATTTAAAACATAACCTCCAAATATCATCAAGAACAAACCCCAATCATCAATTTGTCAAAACAACAATAAATCTAACGAACTCATTTTACAATTAAGAGAAAGAAGAAGAAGAAACCCTAAGCAATAATAAAAAATAATGCGCCATAATAGCTCATTACTGTAAAACATTATAAACTACCTTAAAATATGTTCACAGATACCATATAAAATCGTTGTCACCCGAAGAAAAAGAAAAAGAAGAAGAAGAGGAAGAAGAAAGAGGAGAAAAAGACCTGAAGTTGTTTAAAAAGTGGGTATAGATTAAATGCGGGAGACCAAATAGAATGCTCGTGCAATTTTTACGTTGTTGTTGCATCATTTTTTGTATTACATCCTACAAGTTGGGGCCATTTTGTATTAATAATCCGAGAACTCCACAAATCGGGTTCAGCTTTGAGGCTCTTGTTCTTTTCAGTAAAAAGAAATCTATATTGCAAATTCTTTTCTCCTTTTTTTCATTTGCAATGGCAAATTTTTCACCCCTTAAAGCATAGACTATAATCTATATAGCACCATATTCATCCTCAGTATTTTGAGAGCAAGAAGCGCAAAAAAGAAACAGGGGTTCACCTCGCTTCAAAAGCGAAGCGCACACTTTATTAAAGTGAAGCGCAATTCTTAAAAAGCATAATGTAAACCTTACAAAGAGACAATATAAATAATCAAAAAGCTCAGTTTTAAACTTAAAAGTTGGTACCACAAAATCCTCCATAAACCATAGGACAAGCAAAATCAAAACCATTAAATTACTAGAATCAACATCTTATTCTTCTACTCTTCTTATTCTTCTTCAAGATTGTCAAAATCTTGAATTCCTCTATTATCTTCATATTGCTCGTCATCTTCTTCTTACCCCTCCTCTTCCTCGTCCTCTTCATGATCACTTTCATCTTCATCAATTAGGGATCGACTTGTAGTACCCACACTTTTCCCTTCCTATTCGAGCTTGAACTTGAAGTATTCCCCCTTAAACCATAAGGGTTCTCCCTAACTCCACTAGCCTCCGCAACATCACCCCAAGTGAAATTAGAGTCGCCTTCAAATATTTTTTCATCTTCAAAACTTTCGGAGATTCCGACTAGCCACTCATTAGCCTCGTCAATATTGTCCAAAAGAATTGGATCAATTAGATTGCGGTGGTTGTAGCGACGTCTCAATGTTTTATTGTATTTTATGAGCACTAGATTATGGAGGCGCTTCAAGGTTAGTTGATTCCTCTTCTTCGTATGAATCTGCAAACAAGATGTGTCAACTAATTGGTAGGAGTTAGGACAATTGAGATATAATTTACTTCATCTCAATACACAAAATCATTCCTTTTAGTTCTCATGTGTTCAAAAATGCTCAAGTTCCTTTCACACACGGATAAACTACAAGTTAAACTTAGAACTTTGATGGTGATAGTCTGTAAATCCGGAGTCTCTGCACCATATTGGTACCCTCAACTATAGAAGTGAAAAAAAAATATATTCAAGAGTTAATAAGTATAAAAAATACATTAAAAGTTAGAACTATAAAATATAGAAGCACTCGGTCACCTGGCAACTTCGTCTTTCTTTGTTTACTAGCCAGTCATAGCTTAAAAAAGTCCTTCAGCTGCTTTATAAATAGCAAACTGATCTACTATCTTTTCTTCCAGCTCTTCATCTTGAGTGAACTTAATAGCACACTCATGGAATCGCTTCCACACTTCTTTAGCTAGTGAATTATTCTCATATTGATCATAAAAGAGTGACGAGTTCAGAATAAGTCCAGCTGCATGCAAATGTCGATGAAGTTGCTCCGTCCATCTTGAATCAATGATCTGAAAGATCTTTGCATATTTTTGCTGAAATGATGCTTGAATAGCCTCCTTGGCCCTACCTATAGCTTCATAAAGGTAGCCTATTTTTGCTTCCCATCCACCAAACGGAGTACTCTAATCAAAGGGCCCCAATTTTAAGAGCATGAAGGACATTATTCCAAAGAGAATAAAAAAGAATAATGTGTGTTGCTTCTTTCCACCAGCTTCCTTTGCAAATTTACTCTTGTTCCATTCCTCTGAAATGAACAACTTTCTCAAATTGGCTTTTTGCAAGTGGATACAATGCAAAGTTAAGAAAGCAGTGGCGAACCTTGCTTGCCCGGTTTCACCAAATTTTTTTGTTTTGTGAATCTTCTCATCATATTCAATAACAAGGGCCGCGAAGAAATATTAAAATGTACCCTAAGCCCTGGCCAAAAACTGTAGAAAAGGGCTTTTCCTTGAAAATGTCCCCGAACATTAAGTTTTTTTTTTATTTTTTTGAGAAGGTAATAAGTTTTATAAATTAAGTAGAGAAACCTTTAGCATAAAGATTATGCTAAAGGTTAAAGATAGTTACAAGACCCTCGAAAAAGAGCAAAAACGCAAACCCGGACTTGTGGTAGTTACAAAGACCCAATAATATCCACTATAGACTCTACATTCTCTACCAGAGCTTCTTTACACCAAAAGTGAAACAAAAATATACAATTCGTCTTGATCTTCTGTTCAGAGTTAGCTCTATCTTCAAAGCATCTTGAATTTCTCTCCAACCAAATTGTCCACCAAATACATGCTGGGATCAACCTCCACCAATGCTTCTGCCTCAGTAGAATACCTGGGTCATTCCAACAAGCTAACATTTCTGCAGTTGTCCTAGGCATTGAGCCGCACATGGAGTCCAATAGACATTCGGGTATGCTCCTTGCACCATACCACTCACTTTAACATTTTCACTCGCATTATCAGTGACCACTTGAACATCATTGCTTAGGCCAATCTTTTCAATGGTGTTCTGAAACAAGGCGAACATTTTGATGTGGTCAGTGGACGCGTCGCTAGCATCAAACGACTCAAGAAATAAACTTCCCTTGGAAGAATTCACCAACATATTAATGATTATTTTTTCAGTTCTTGTCGTCCACTTATCCATCATAATGGAGCATCCATACTTGTTCCACAAAACTTTATGTTCCTCCACAATTTTATTGGTCTCCTCCACATCCTAATTTAGATAAGGACCTTTGATGTCATGATAAATGGGGGGCTTCATTCTAGGTCCATATTGACCAACGACCTCAAAAAAGTCTCCAAGTGTCAATATAGCTGACACAATTGAAGAGGAGCCCAGCATCATAGATCCATCGTGCAAAAGCTTTAACTGCACGATCCCTTAAAATGTCCTTGGTAATTTTTTGCGCATCTTTTCCACCGCTCTTTGGTTCTGGCTTCTTTGGGAAATAGCAATCTATAGGACCTTTAGTCCTACTCGTACCCGTCAATCTATGGCTTGAAGAGATTGCATCTCTTCCCCATTTTGTTGGAAGTGACAAACTTTCAACTTCTTCTATATCACCATCATCATCATCTTTAAGATTGGTCACACATGGTTGAATCATTAGATTTTTTTGCTCCTTCTTGTCAACAAAATTCTTTATTTCCTTCCTCACCTCCGGCGAGCATTTCGGATAACTTGTGACGTTTCTATCGCCACCAATAAGATTAAATTTAAAGCGATAAATTCCCCCCATTGTAATCTTGTTACAAAACCTGCATGTAACATTTGTACTATTCTTCTCATTAACTTTATCTCCATATCGTCAAGCTGGGTCTTTCTGAACTTTGGGACATTTTTGATCCCTATTAAGATATTAAAAAAACAAACATAATCAAATAAAACTGAATATATATATATATATATATATATATATATAAAATTAATTTTATAAACTGAAATACACATAAAAATTAATAAATAAAGGCTAAAATACTAGTAAATAAGAAGAATAAAAGTAAAAAAAAAAAAGGAGAAGAAGAAGAAAGAAGAAAAAAAGAAGAAAAATTACCTGGAGGTCATCTGTTCGTGGAACCCTAGCAGCAGCAGCTTCAAACGTCGATGAAGAAGAGAAAGAAATGTCTTCTCATTCACTTTGGGGTCTATTTTGTATAATAAAAAAAAGACCCAAACTTTTATTTTTAAAAGTCACCCCTTTGGACTGAAGCGATCGCTTCTGCTGGTCGTGTTGCCTCAGCTTCGAAAAATCGCTGGCCTGTCGCTTTGCGTCGCTTTTTTAAACACTGTTCACCCTCAAACCTTCTTTCAGTTTCAATTCCTCTCTTCTTCAGAATTTCAGTTTCATGTCCATTTCATTTGTACTACAGCGTCACTGAACCTCCTCTCTTCCTTTATTTATTCCGTTATATTTATAGAGTTATTATTATATCAGAGACAAAATCTCCCGCACTCTTATTCTTTTTGGAGTCACTCATCCCCTAAAACCAATTAGCTCCATAGGAAGAGAAGAAAAAATTTCATGGCTACACTGAGACATGTTCCACCAAAGGAGGCGAAATCATAGGTGGTTCAACAACTAAAGAGATGCTACCAAAGTGAAATAGCCGAACCGAACCAGAAACTCCATTCTACTTCAATAAACCTTAAACAATCAAAGCCTTGATCTTCCACACTAACTCCATGATGCAGCAAAAGAGACATGCAGAACTTCTTTTTGGTATAAATAATTACAGCACTCAACAGGCTAAGCCTGTAGAGACTTTACAAATTCTATCAAGGTCTCTACCTCATAGGAATGTCATACAAAAGCTTCTAAATCGATTAAAATCCATGCACCAACTTCCTTTTCTCAGATTAATTCTTCATTGCTGGGTTACTCTATTATAACCTCTACTTTTTAGAGCAAAATTTAAGAAGAAAAGAGAACTCCAAGTGATTAATAAATAAAGTTATAGCTTCTTTCAAGAAAGTATGTCACTCAAGCTATTAGCTTGAATTAATATATTGTACCTCTACTGTACAGGGACAAGTTCGAAAACATAAGAGAACTACAAGCAACTACTGTTATTCACTAACATTTGAACTTCTGGGATTTATCTCAATTTATACCATTAATCATCTTTAGCTTCAAGGAACTGCAATTCTCACTTTATTGTGTCTTCCTAGGCCTTCCTAGACTTCGACCATTTTGTTTCTTCTTTGACTTCTTAGATAATCCCAACTTCTTCAAAATTATAGTACCTGGTTTAGCGCCATCGTCATTGCCCTTGGGGTTCCTCCCACAACGCTTTTTTATTTGTTGCTTGAAGTGCACCTCATGTTGAGGATCATTCGAACATAACACCTCCTCATTTGATCTTTTATCAGGCAACACCTCTTCATTTGTTGCCAGCGCCGAAGCTGTACTAGTACCTAGTTTGGCCTCATCCTCCTTGTTCTTAGGAGGCCTCCGACGAAGCTGGCGTTTTAGTTGCTCCAAGTGCACATCATGCTGAGGATCACTCAAATTCAGTGGCTCCTCACTTGTTGCCATTGCCAAAGGTTCTTCCATTTGTACTAAATTTTTACCCGCTGAGGTGCATAATGGCAATGGTTCCACTTTAGAGGTACTTGCTGATTGAGATTCAGATCGGTCTCTGCTCCAGAGCTTCAGTTGTCTTTGTTCACGTGACATCTCAATCGACATTGCCTCAAATCCTGTAGAATCATCATCTTCATTGAGCTTCTCCAGGGTAGATGTCCCTTCTTCCGGCTTCTGCTTCTTTTCAGATGATGGTTCAACTGTTGCAAGTACAATCTCATGAGATTCTTTCATCTTTGACAATTCTATCAGCTGCTTTCCAGTTACACCATTTTGCCTCTCACTTAATTGCCCTTCTTCTTTATCTGTGTTCGGTTGATTATGATGCCCATTCAACTCCCTGTGTATTCCATTTTGTTGCCCATGTTTAACTTCATTTTGTTGCTCATCCAACTTCTTCTTCTCTTCTTTAACAACTTTTACATCATCATGCTTTTTCTCCTTCTTTTCCTTGCGCCGCCGCTTCTTTTGTTTAATCTCCCAACCCCACCTTCCCTTCCTCTTCTTGTACTTCCTCTTGCTTTTTGTTTTTGGATTCACGCTATTGTTGCCACCACTAGCAAGCAAAAAACGCCCTCCTCCGTCAATCATAAGAATTTTACCATTTTCAGACAGCTTTTGTAGATGATGTTTCAGCAGGAACATATGAGCCATTGGCAAATTGTCATATTCTTTCTTGATAAACTTAGATATTGAGTCTTCACTCGAACCTCCTTCTTCATTCAATTCCTGCAACGCCCTTTGAATCATCTATAACAAGAAGAAAACATTTGATTAGACCATAACGGAAAATCTTCAACTATGAGGATTCAAAACTATTCACTGTTACTCTTTAAGAGATGAATGGGAAGAGAAATTGCTTATCAACTCTCCTAGGTCTGAACTTGGATTGCTACTTTGATTAATCAAGCTATTAATTAAGAAAAGAACTTTCAAAAGCAAATCTTTTGGCTAGTTGTCTGAGGAAGATATTAACATTATAATAACAAAGGAAATCTCACTTTTCCCCAGATACATACAAACCCAATAACATGAAATGACCAGAATTGACAAGAATCCGACAAGCAACAAAAATGAGAATAATTATTTCCTTTTATTCAAGAGAGTAATTATGGGTGTGTTTGGTACGAAGGAAAATATTTTCTTACAAAATATTTTTCCCGGAAAATGAGTGGTTTTATCACTTATTTTACTATGTTTGGTTAGTAAGTGAAAACTTTTTTTTGGAAAATATTTTGTAGTGTTTGTTTAGAGAGTAGAAAATATTTTTTAGAAAAATAATTTTTTATACTAATTTCCGTACCCCTTCCCCAACGCCACATGTTTCTCGTGCCTTCCCCTCCCCCTACCCCCCCCCCCCCCGGCTCCCCCAAAACTTTAAATACCCAACGTTTTTTTAAGACTCTATTTTCTTCAAGAATTTAATAATTCTTTTAAAAATTCACACAAACCCAAAAGGGACTAATGTGTTGCTTTACTTTTTCACTCAAACACAACGTTGAAATTTATGCTACATAACTAAAAAAAATACTCTTTTTTTGGTTGAAAAAGAAATTACCTTTTATACAACATGAAAAAAGTATTCATTTTGTTAAAATGAAAGAAAATACTTTTTCTACATCATGAACCGAAAGTACTTTTTTTGTTGAAATGAAAGAAGGTACGTTTGACTATATTATTTTGTTGAAATGAAAGAAAATACTTTTTCATATTATGAAAAGAAAGTAATTTTTTATTGAAATGAAAGAAGATACTATTTACTACATTATTTTGCTGAAATGAAAGAAAATATTTTTTCTACATCATGAAAAGAAAGTAACTTTTTTTGTTGAAATGAAATAAGATATTTTTTACTACATCATTTTGTTGAAATGAGAGAAAATACTTTTTCAACACCATGAAAATAAAGTACTTTTTTGTTGAAATGAAAGAAGATACTTTTTACTACATTATTTTGTTGGAATGAAAGAAAATACCTCTTCTACATCATGAAAAGAAAGTACTTTTTTTTTGTTGAACTGAAACAAAATACTTTTTTTATATTATAAAAAAAAATATTCATTGTGTTGAAACGAAAAAAGAATGTACTCTATTTACAAAACAAGACAACGTATCTTTACAAAAGAAATCAGAACTCGCTGTGGTGCTAAAATCCCAGAACTTGGGCACCCCAAATTTACTACTCAGTCCTTAAGTAGAAATAACCTATGTCATCTAGCCCCTAGGGCTTTGGTCTAGTGGTATGAGACCATCTCCAACCTTACCGTATTTTCCCATAATGGGGGCAATTTTTGGGATAATGAAGCTCTAATCCTCCGCCATTGTTGTTCCCAAAATGGGGGATGAATAGTGTTCCCTCAAATATGGGGTACACTATTCATCTCCCCGGTTACTATTCATGTATTTTTTATTATTATTTTATTATTTAATCTTTTAATTTATATCTTTATATATACCTAATTATGTTTATGTAATATCTTTATAATATTAATTTTACATCTTAACTTTGGCGTATAATTTTGATAAATTAATTTTCGTGCATTTATTATTTTTATGTAAAATTGTAAGTTAATTTTATTAGAGGTTGAAGTTGAATATTTATGTAGTATTTCGAATGAATTTTATCGTTATGTAATATGTATTTAATTAATCTTATATCGCAATAATTTCATTTTTATTTGAATTATTAGTTAATCTACAATAATTGCTTACAAATTATATTATTTGAAATTTTATGGAATTGTTTTAATGAAAATTACAAATTAATAAAAATAAAAGATGAAATTTGTTTAATGGAAATTAAAAAATAAAATTGAAATGAAAGATAATAAAGTAATATAGAAGAGAGAGAAGAATATAAAAAAGTTTGGGGGGAAAAATGGGGGAATTGTTGGAGTAAGTTGTCCCCAATAGAGAAATCCCCATTTTGGGGACCAAAAATGGGGTAAAGGTTGGAGATGCCCCGAGTAATCTTGTAATGTATGGGTTCGGCGCAGGTCACAAGTTCGATCCCTGCCACAGACAGCTTGATCTTTTAACAGGAGAAGGACCTAGAGTCAGTCACATTTAATGGGAGTAGGAGTGTGCATTCGAATCGGTTTATCGATAAATCGAATCGATTATTTGTTATCGAAATCGAAATCGAAAAAATCGAAACCTTATTGAAACGATAACGATAAGCATATGTACAAATCGATAATCGATAAATAATTATCGATAAGGGTCAAAATCGAATCGATAAATCGAATGCACACCCCTAGACTGTACACACTTGTTAAATGAGTAATTACCTATTTGTGTAGATTAATATAACATACAGAATGTATATATATTCCGCTACTATTTTGAAAGCGGCTATACAATATTATTTTCCCTAATCTATACCATTTCCTTTACCCTAAGTCCCTTACCCTATTATTTCCTCTACCACATTTAAGGAATGATCATATTTAAAGATCAAGGGAATGAAGTTCAAATTAATGGAAAACAGAATTAGCCGTGATGATGTGTTTTGTTTTGTTTTGTTTTTTTTATACCGTTGGAGTGTTGGTGGCATATATTTGATCCCTTACTTTAGTTTTGTTGCATGTGCTTGTTGACAAATTTTTATATTATAAATGATGTCCGTCTTATTTTAGCTTCTTTTTGTCCATATTAGTTAGGCGCTATTTATAGCGATATACTTTCCGTGGAATCCCGCAAATTTTCTTATTGATATATTCGATAACCGAATCGATAAGCCCCCAAAATCGATAAATCGAAATCGAAAAAATTGAAACCTTATTGAAACGATAACGATAAGCATATGTACAAATCGATAATCGATAAGTAATTATCGATAAGGATCAAAATCGAATCGATAAATCGAATGCACACCCCTAAATGGGAGAGCCAAAAATTCGTACTAGGATTAGAACAAGCGACCTAAAGCAATTTTTGAACCCCATTTACTACTACACTAGCATCTTTATCTATGTCAATATATAATATACTTTTTTTATATTTACCCATCTCAATTTTTTTTTTTTTTTACATTTACCCGATTTGCACAGTACAATTTTCTAGCAAAGAGATTCAATTAAATCCCTTGCCTCCTTGTGCACCAAGAACTTCTCGTTTGAAAAAAAAAAAAAAAGAGTCATCTAAGAGGTAATCCCTCCGCCAATCAGCCCCTTTTATTTTTTGATAACTATACTGTCCAGGTCAGTTTGTGCGCACGTCGACTAGTTCCACAGAATACTTGCTACCTCCCACCAGCAGAATATACCAGTTAACTCTGTCTACGACGGCTTAAACATGTGGAAAGAAATCACCTAGCATTTTTGTCTCTGCTGGGATTTGAACCTGATACCTCGTGATTCTCAATCCGACCACTATGCCTCACCCTTGGGTGTCTTCTTTTTTTTTTTTTAATAATAATCATTGACATATTGAAAGGGAGACTTGGCGTAGCTGATAAAGCTGTTGTCATGTAACCAGGAGGCAGAGGCGGCTCAACACTACATGTGGCCTAAAGCGAAAATTTAAAAAGAGGCCTCAAAAGACATTCGAGGTTAAGAAATGCTTTTTCATATCTAATCTTTTAATAATTTCATTAGCTTAAGATAAAAAAATTGTCTAAAAAGCACTTAAAAAATAGAAGAAGATTCTACAAAATCATAGTTATACACAAAATTAATTCAAGTTGAAGTGAGTTAGACAAAAATTAAGAAGTTGAGCCCATCCACCAACCATGCATGAGGTAACAAAAATAGAAAGTAAATGCAAATTTAATAATCTACAATTTTTAGTACAAAATTTAAAAATTGACAACTTCTTGATTATAAACTAATTTATTTATCACTAATACTAAATACATAATTATTTATTACTACATATAATTTGAGAAAATTTGGGGCCTTAATTTTTTGGAGGCCTAAAGTCGCTGCTTTAGCGGCTTTAGGGTTGAGCCGCCACTGCCAGGAGGTCACGGGTTCGAGCCGTAAAAATAGCCTCTTGCAGAAATGCAAGGTAAGGCTGCATACAGTACAACAGACCCTTATGGTCTGGCTCTTCCTCATACCCCGCGTATAGCGGGAGCTTAGTGCACCGGGTTGCCCTGATCATTGACAGATTACCATTTTTCTTTTTTCTGTCTCTAACTCTATAAATAATTAAGTTCACAATTACTTTCATAAAAGATTAATTAATTGGTGCAGTAAACTTTGTAACCACTGACTTATAAATTATTAATATGAAAAATTACTTACCCAAGAATAAGGAGGATGATCAGGGGTAGTATGAAGAGAAGAAAGTAAATGGGAAAGGCGTAGTTGAAGAATGGAGTTCCGGGTCGGTGATAATAGCCCATTTGGTTCACTGTTTGACAGTTTCAATATGGCTTCTTTCAATTTGTCCATGCCAATGCTTTCTGCTGCTTCAGCACATTGTTGTGAGTACAAAAAGTAGGGTTTTTGGCAGTGATTTTATCCATAACTTGTGGGATTCGGTTGTTGGAGAAGTTTTCGGAGGTTTTGTTTGGTCCTCTACAATTGGAAATATTCAGATTCCTTGTATTTTAATTATGGAAAATAAATGGCTTTCTTCTTCTTTTTTTTTTTTTTTAGAAGATTCCTTCTTCAAGTCGTTTTACTCTGGTTCAAATACAACAATTACTTTAAAACTAATAAATTTATCTACATTTTGCGCGATTTTAATAAAATACGTACTACAGAAAGGGCAAGATGGATAATAACTTCCATCTACTATATTCTTCTTTATGTATTTTTATTAAAAAATGTTATCGATAGTAATCCAGTCCCCATAAACTGTTATTATTGGGGAAAAATAAAGAAACACAGTATAATAAATACTTTTTAGTATTTTTGTGACGATAAGACTTTAGAAACTTGTGATCTTAAAATATAAATAACATATGTTTTGCTTGTCAAAAAGAGTAAAATGGAATGTTTAGTTATATTATGTCCAAATTTCAAATGCTGCAATCTTCTTGAAAAAAATTAAAAGGAAATCTACGACATAAAGTGGAATGGATTATGGAGGGGATATTAATTTCATTTTTTATTGTCTATTAAAAATAAAATAAATTAAAAGATAAATAAAAGAAACATATACGGTCATATGCGTGAAAGGGTGCACAATTCACACTTAAACAATTCTTTTTCTTTTCATTTTGTCTATCTTTTTCCTATTTCTTTTAAACACTTTTCCTTTCTCTTCAATTCCGTTCTTTGTCAATTCTCACCGATTACTGTTGCCACTTCCTTCACGGCATATTGGAACTATCACCATCCAAAATAATCAAACAAACTTCTTCTATTTCAAAAAAAAAAAAAAAAAAAAAAAGAAGCCGTCTCAGAAAAGATTTTCATACCATTGGTTTAAGGATCAAAGAGTTCCCTACCATACCAACATCATGACACTATGTTTTCCCCTTCAAATCAGACCAGCTGTCAAATAACGAAAATAATATCAATTAGCGTAATACACTGCTAATATAACTCAACAAAATCAATTCTATCATGCCTCATTATCAACCCAAATTTTTTTTTTTGGTTAAACGTTTAAACTTTATTAACCAAGTAAAAATATTTACATCCGCTAGTTCTTTTGGACTCCAGAACTAGACCTATCTACATAACTATCTGACTAATCAGTTAACAATTCCTATAACAATTACATTGTCCTGTATGAACTAAGGAAAATTCTTCAATTTTTCTAGCTCTTTATGCCACTTTGTTTCTCTTTGCCCTCCTATATGTAATTCCATCACAATGTCTTTGATTCTCTAATTACTGGCAACTATTCCCCCTTGAAATCTTCTTTGTTTCTCTCTGCCCAGACATGATACACCATTGCTGTGAATAGTAATATCAATATTTCACCTCGAGTTTTATTAGCAGTCCTTCTTCTCAGCCATTTAATTTCCTCTTCCCAGCTTCCAATCTGATGCTTCTCATTGAGCCATTGTAGGAGTTTGGCCCATATTGTTCTGGCGTAGTCACATCCAAACCATATATGCTCCATTATCAACCCAATTAATTAGAATGATTTTTCAGTTTGTATTTAACTATTGTATTTAGTGTGTTTCAATATACTTTTTTTTTTACTGTTGCATTCATTAGATTCAATATTTGTATTTACTGTATTCGCTATTTTATATTCAGTATGTTCAAATTATCAAATGTATTAGTATTAGCAGTATTTTAGTTATTCCTAATACATGTTATCACTGATGTATTCAATATATTTCATTGGTTGTATTAACTGTATTTCTATTTGTATTCAGTGTATTTTACTGTATTTTAAAATTAAATCTATTCACTGTTTATATTCTGTTCTATTTTAATGTTTGTGTTCAGTGTACTTCAATATTTATATCTTGTATTCATGCATACTGTATGTACAATATGCATAAGTATATGTGTATTCAGCTGTATTAGAAAAAAATACAGATCTTCGAGATGTAAAAAATACATCTACAATATGTATTTATATATGAAAAACAATGCGTTTGAGTGAATAGCAAAGAAGAGAAGAAAGTTCGTCGGAGATGGCGTTTTCCGGCCAAGAAAAGAAGAAAGTTTGTCGGATCCGTACAACAAAGTTATGATAAGAGTTCATTACATTGCTCCTTTCCGTTCGAAAAATTCACTCTTTTCTGTTTTCTGGCTGCCTTCTACTCTATTCTAATGTTTCGTCGGCCATCAATACTATGGCGTGTATCTTGAGTTGCTCGAAGAGAGAGAGATTCTTCTTTCTCTTCGGCCATCCATACTAGGGCTTGAGTTGCTCGAAGAGAGAGAGAGAGAGAGAGAGAGAGAGAGAGAGAGAGAGAGAGAGAGAGAGAGAAGCAAAAATTTGAGAGAGAATCTTGTGTTAATTGAAAGAAAGAGACAGGAAAAACATAAATAGCGTATTTCATGCCTCAATGGTAGTATATACCATAAATATCTATTTTGCTATAATATATAAAAGGTAGCTATAAAAAATAATATTTTAAAATATTTTTAGTTTGTAATAAATAGGGTATATACCTTTGCTATAGAAGGTAAAATTTCCTAGAACAGTTCTTTGATTTGTCATAGAATTAGTATTTATTAAGTAACATTAACTGTAAGTTGATTAGGTTAGGAATTGTAATACCGAATAACGTTCGTTCCTCTAATAATTGCGACTGTTCACATTATAGTAGTTTGAACCCGACTCGTAGAGAGGTGACTGTCACAATCCAAAATCCACTAGTAGTGATGGCACATAACCCAACTCGCTAGGTAAGCTAACTAATAACTATCCAATCTCAATAATGTCAATAAGTCAACAAAACATAAATAAATTATCTGGATTCATTACATTTCCCAAGGACTGGTGTACAAATCATGAGCTTCTAAGAATAAGTTTACAAAGCTGATATGAAGTAATATATCTTCTGTTTGAAAAGAACATAAATAGAGTTTTATAATCTAAGGCTACCATGAACAAAAGGTAGCTACCACAGGGACACAGGTACATCTTTCAATCCAGCTTCCGTCGAACACAGCAACATCGACATTCGAAACCACGCTCTTGCCACGAGTATCCAACTCCGAGTGGCCCAAATCTAATTAAATATATTGCATAATGTAAATATAACTTTAAGTAACTTATTTAACTAATGAATTCGAAGCTAACACTCGAAATTAAGAAAGTCGCCCCAAAAAGTCCCCCGGGCCCACACCTCGGAATCGGGTAAAATTTACAAATTTCGAACACCCGATCACTCACGAGCACACTCGAACAAGAATCATCAAAATCCGACGTCAAAACTCGGATTCTCATTTGGGGAACTTTCCTCCCATTTTCAAACTTTTATCCCCCAAATTCTTAATTAGAAGAGGAAAGCAATAATAGATTATAGTACTAAGATCAAGATCGAGATAGAAATCGTTACCCAATGATTCTCCTTCAAAAACCCTCAAAAAATCGTCTCCCACCGAGCTCCAATTCGATTTTTGTGTTATGAAATCTCAAACCCTCAAATTTTCTATATCTGCCCAGTGATTTCCGCTTCTGCGGTCATGGGACCGCACCTGCGAGTTTTCATTAAACAGCCATAAACCGCACCTGCGCTACCTTCTCCGCAGATGCGGTCCGCTTCTGCGGTCCAATAACCACATCTGCGGTCACTGGCCAATAGTGCCAGAATCGCACCTGCGACTCACTCCACCGCACCTGCGGGCTCCTCACCGCAGGTGCGAAAATACCAGAAGCAGCAACCTTTAGATTTTGCCTAAGTCCACAATCACCTCCGTTAAGCATCCGAAACTCACCCGAGGTCCACGGGACCTCAACAAACACACCAACCAGTCCTAAAACATCATACGAACTTAGTCCAACCCTCAAATCACGTCAAACAACGCTAAAACCACGAATCATCCTCCAATCTAAACCTAAAGAACTTGAAACTTCAAGAAACCTACAACCAATGCCGAAACCAACCAAACCAAGTCTGATTGACCCCAAATTTTGCACACAGGTCACATTTAACACTACGGAGCTGTTTCAACTTTCGGAATCGGATTCCGGCCCCGATATCAAAATTTCACTGTCGATCCGGAAACTTCAAAAATTCAACTTTCGGCATTTCAAGCCTAAATAAGCTACGGGCCTCCAAAACATAATCCGAACACGCCCCTAAGCCCTAAATCACTCAACAAAGCTAACAGAATCGACGAAATTCCATTCCGAGGCCGTCTTCACACTGTTCCGACTACGGTCCAAATTCTAAAGCTTAAACTCTCATTTAGGGACTAAGTGTCCAAAAATACTCCGAAACTCATAACGAATCTTCCCGACAAGTCACAATAGCAGAAACGAACACGGGGAAAGCAGTTAATAGGGGATCGGGGCGTTAATTCACAAAATGACCGGCCGGGTTGTTACATCCTCCCCCTCTTAAAACATTCGTTCGTCCTCGAACGAGCATAGAGACATACCTGAAGTGGTGAAAAGATGAGGGTAACGGCTGCGCATATCCTGCTCGGTCTCCCAAGTAGCCTCTTCGACCGGCTGACCCCGCCACTGAACCTTCACTGATGCGATGGTCTTTGACCTCAGCTTTTGAACCTGCTCGTCCAATATCTCCACTGGCTCCTCAACATAAGATAGATCCTTGTCCAGTTGGACTGAACTGAAATCCAACACGTATGACGGATCACCATGATACTTCCGGAGCATCGAAACATGAAATATCAGATGAACTCTTGCCAAGTTGGGAGGTAAGGCAAGCTCATAAGCAACCTCCCCAACACGTTTCAATACCCCAAAAGGACCAATAAACCTCGAATCAATTTCCCTTTCTTCCTAAATCTCATAACGCCCTTCATAGGCGAAACCCGAAGCAAGACCCGCTCTCCAACCATATATGAAACATCACGAACCTTTCGATCCGCATAACTCTTCTGTTTAGACTGGGCTATACGGAGTCTACCCCGAATCACCTTAACCTTCTCCAAGGCATCCTGAACCAAGTCTGTGCCTAATAATCTAGCCTCACCCGGCTCAAACCAAC